AGCATCTGACTCTGAAGACAATGAAGTCGTTTGCCTCCTCTTTCAGTCGTTGGAGCCTCCACAGTTAGAATCCAATGACTTGGCTCTTAGAAAACTCCTTTTCTACCCCCAGCAGCCTCTTTCCGCCATCACCCCACCCCGACCCCCCAGTAGCATCATCCCCCAACCACAGTTGACAGGAAGCCAAGGCCAGGACTGGGGAAGATTCTAGAGGGAGGAAGGGAGGGTGTTCCATTTAAATTGTGTTTATTAATTCATGGGCCTGGGTTGGTCCCACCCCACCAGCCCCAGGGCCCTCTTGATGAAGCATTGAAAATGTGGTTTCTTTCCATCCTAATACATTGTGTCCTCCCTCCTCCTCCCTACTCACCCATCCCCACTCGGCATGCTCACCAAGGCCTCTTTCTCTCAACCCTGTCTGCACCCATTCCAAACCCCATTTAAACCCCTTTTCCTCACCTTAGCCCAAGAAGAAGCTGAATGCACCCTCTGACCTGGTCACACCCAAGATTGTGCCTTTTGATCTTCTGCCTGAGACTGAACCCTTTGATCTGAAGCCTGATACAGTGCCTGAGATCCCACCCTTTGATCAGACGCCTAGAGCACTACCCTATTACCCAGAGCCTGTGTCTCTGCCCACCCCAAAGGAGCCGACAGCCGGTGGGGGTGTTTAGGGCCTCCTGGATCCCCCAGGTCTGTGGGCATGGCGTGTCACTAGAGTCCACCACTAGCTCACCGCCTGGTGGTGGTCAGTGCAGGATGGTGGGCCTCTTCCAAGCCACTGCCCCCTATGGGTGGGTGATGGGTATTAGGAAACACTCTTGTATTAGGCAGAGTTCAGGCAAATGTGGTTTGTGCAATAGAGTGGGAGGTGAAGGGGAGGCCCCCCTCCCTTGGGTTTGTCTTAATAACGACACTCCAAACACTGTACTTGAGCTGCACCCAATGCTGCCCTGCATGAAGTTGCTTGAAACTGAGCCAAGGTTTAGGATTCTCCCTTTCCCCCGCCCTCTGCCTCCTCCTCAGGGGCAAGCCAGTTTGGCTCAAAGCCCCTCAAGGGAGGCCCTTATGAAGCCCAAGCCTGGGGACTGTTCTGTGCCCTCGCCACCTCCCCCCATGTAGCGGAGGAAAACATTTACACTTATTTTTTCCAGTTTTCTTTTAATGTTTTGCAAAGAGATCCCTTATGTTTGCCAGATCCTGCCTTGGGTGGGGCACTCAAAAGCTGCCAACTCAGACAGGCCAAAGAAGTGGGGGGGCATTTTAGCTGGTTCTGGCTTGGATTCTCTGGCCTCCCTATAGCATAATGTTGCTCAACCTTTTTTTTTTTTTCATAATCATGCCCCTGAGGAGTCCTTTTAGACATTTCCCCCTAATTGTCCCCTCCTCCATGAAATTTTAATCCTACAATTATACTACATATTTGTTAAGGTACTGGGACTCTTTGGAGCACCACAAACTATTACTATACCTAAGCCCCTCTGACCCCTCAAGAGGCAATTTCCATCTTCTTAGGGACAATATCACTTCTGTTGAGAATCACACTATAGCAAAAAAGGACCCTCTGCCTTTGGTGTCTCCCACCCTCTTGTCTTGGCAGCCTCAAGGGCAGAGCCTGATTTTTTAAGACTTTCCCTCTCTTTCACCTCTCCTTCAGCCTGCACCTTCTCCCAACACCTTGTCTGAGCAGATCCTAGCTCTCTGGGTTACCTTTCCAAAGTCTACCCTGGCCATTCCCAGACAGTAGCTGGGGACAGGGCTGGTTCACTCTATGTCAAGAAAGGCTCCTACCCAGAGCTATATGACATTCTCCCTGACAAATGTGAAGTGCCTGGCCAAGGACTGGACACATAGTAGGTGCTCAAGTAAATTATCACTGTAACATTTTCTTCTTAAGCCAGAGGATCCTAAGTTTATACAGCAGGGTTGGGGAGTGGTGTGGAAGGGGCTGGGAGCTTCTCCAGGGCTCCTCTAAATTCACCCTGCGCTGGTGCCTTCCTGGGTTGGGGAGCTGTGTGTGCTTGGGCGGGGGCAGGGGAAGCCGTACATGCTTTTGTTCAGACCTGGTCATTAAAGGTAACTCTGGAAACCAAGCCTGTTGGGAGTGGTGGTTTTGTTTAATAAAAAAAAATGTGAAAACGGAACAAGCAGAACTCTCCCTCCTTGCCACCCCCGGAGGCCTCTCCTTTGGTTCAGGAGCTCTGCCAGGGAAGCAAGGGTGGGACAAGGGTGCCTGGCCTGTGTGCCCAGGGTAGCGGGGAGGTGCTTTGGGATTGTGTTTATGGTTGTTGTAGCAACAGGCACATTGGGTGGGCCCAAGATAGCACTCCAAGGCTGTGAGTCATAGGGGAAACCTGGCCTGGAAAGGGGGAGAAAAGAAAAAATCCATTAATGGAGGGGAAAAGCTAAAGTCTTGGTGGTATACCCTCCCCAGAACCAACCTACTGGGCATTGTCCAGGAACTGCGGCCAAGGCGTTTCTTCCCTCATCCCCTGACCTTCGACCAAGAAGGCAGCTCCTCTGGCGTAAGCCATCACTCTGAAGGGAACCTATAGTGAATGAGGTCTATTCCCAGCTCCCTACCCAGAATGAGGGAGATGCCCCCAAACCCAGAAATAAACCCTCCCTCATGGGGATTGCTCCCTGAGGTCGAATTTGAGACCTTTTGTCAGGCTCTGAGAAGGTGGGTTTGGCTACAAGAAGTCTACAACTCTCTCCCCAGCCCTGTTCACTTCCAAGCTCAGTTGGCAAAGACCTTTATCTAGCAAGCCAGAGGCCAGGGAAACCAGCCAGCTCAGCCTTTATGGAGTGGGGTGGATCAGTGGGGAGAATTGGGGATGCTGGGAGTGGGGCAGAGAGACAATGTGGATTTGTTTTCCAGCAGCTGGGACTGTTTCCTGACTATTCCCCGCCCTTCACCCTTAATCCTCCCAAGCGCATCCACATTGTCTGAGCTTAGAGAAAGGAGGGGTTCCCCTCCACCCTCTGGTGTCCGGGTTGTGGGTTTTTATTCTGGGAAGCTGTAAAGGAGAGATCAGTGCTGAATTTTTTTTAAATACAGGACTGCAGGTAAATTCTGGGTGGAGATAGATGAAGAGGTAGTGGAGAGTTTAGATCCCAGAGATTCCTAAAATGGTGTGAAAGACAGAGGACCCGAGTAGTGGCTGGGGAAAACTGACTGCAAAAAGAGACCCAAAGAGTACAAACTGGAACTAAGAGGGGATGATAAGAGAGGTTGGGGCCCTCCTACACTTGGAACGAGGAACACATCCCCTCAATGCCTCTGTAAGTGTAGAAGACAGAGGGATTAACAGAATGAAATAGGATGCCCATAATAGTACTAAACCAGCTATGGCAAGTAGAGACTACAAGTCCCAGCATGCCCAGTGCCCAGGGCATCTTGCCTGCTGGGAGGTGTAGTCAAGTGACTAGAGCTTGAGGTGGCTTGATGCCCAGAAGAGCTGGTGCCCAGCCTGGGAGCAGAGGTGGAGCCACTATTTTCTCTTTGTCCCTGCTAATGCTATTGACAGGGAGGGAAGGAAGTTGGGAGGGGTGTTCCTAGTTTTCAGTGTAAACCAGGAAACTCTGGGGGGATGTGGATGGGAGGGAAAAGGAAAGAAGTCAGGAGCCAGGGAAGGAATTTCTGTAGCAGGTGGTGCGGAGATACCAAGTGGCCAATGTATGTATGTGTGTGTGTGTATTTGCGTATTTATGAGAGGGGAGTTGTTCAGCTCATGTTGCCTCTCTTTTCTTTCTTATTTTTTTAAAATCAAATTTATGGGAATGACATTGGTCAATAGGATGATATAGGTTTCACGATGCCTCAATTTTTCTCAGTTGGGATTTTCTTACAACACTGGGAAACAATCTCAGAAAACCCTTGAGAAACCATCTCTCATTCCTTCAGCTGAAGTCTCTAAAGAGAGTCTGGGCCCAAAAGGAGGCCCTGTCTACGTTCTGAGTTACGTCCCTTTCCCTTTCTGTGCTCGGCCTCCCCGTACCTTGTTGGAGGTGATCCTGAGATTCTGAAACATGGGCCCAGAGTCAGGATCTTGGAAAACTTCTCCGAGTGCAAAACAGTGCTGGTGCTGGGTCCTCCGGGGGAGGAAGGAAGAACTGGCTCTGAGCTCCAGGCTCTCAGGGAGTGTGAGACCATCATGCTACTCCTGGCCTCTTGAGGTCCAATCTGCGGGGCGGCGGGGGGCGCGGGAGTGGAAGCAAGAATGGAAAAGCAATGCCTCCCTTCCATTCCCAGGTAGGGAAGTCAGAACCAGAAGAGGTATCTGTGCTGGGGAGAGTACATGCCTTTGGCTGACAGCTAGTGTTTGCCTCTTTCTTTTCTGAATTTCTACAAGGTGGGAGAGGGGAACATGCAAGGGTGGAACCAAACAATATGAGGAGGTCAAGGAGTGGGGCATGGGCCACAGCTCTTCTTCCCAAAGACTTGTTCTGAAACGGTTTGAAACGGGAGATGCATCCTCTTTATCCTGCCTTCAAGTTGCCCTACTTGGGACTTGCCTGATACTGGCTGCGTGTTCACCTCCCTTCCCGACCCCTCGACCTGAACGAACTTTTCGCAAACCCTTCTGCTTTCAGGCCTGGCTCGGGCAATGTGTGACTTAGTGCACCAGAGGGCGCTCTGCCCATTTCCAAAGTTAAGTCGTGTTCCTTGGGACGCACGTGGCAAGGAGTGGTTTAATGTAAGGGCGGATGTAGGGCCCAAGGACCGCCTTGGAGGGCCGCAGAGCTATTTAACTGGCGTGCAGAAGCCCTGTTCCTTCCTTGCCCTGTCTGTGGAGCTCTCATTCATTCGACACACTTGCGGGGTGCAAATAAGGTGTCTGTGCCCGGCGCTGGGGATGCAATGGCAAACACGTTCAGGCCGATTTCGTGGGTACCGCACACTGCCCAGCACCACCGCCACCCTGCCTCGGGTTCACTCATCGTCCCCCCAAGTGCCCGCAGCCCCCTTCATCTTTTCCGCTCTGCTTTCCCTTTAGGACGAAGTGAAACTGCCTGCCAAACTGAGCATCAGCAAGTCGCTGAAAGAGTCGGAGACGCTGCCCGAGAAGGAAGGCGACGAGCTGGCTGAGGGTGAGCGGCCCGACGAGGACGCGGCCATCGAGCTGTCCTCGGACGAGGCGGTGGAGGTGGAGGAGGTCATCGAGGAGTCGCGCGCCGAGCGCATCAAGCGCAGCGGCCTGCGGCGCGTGGACGACTTCAAGAAGGCCTTCTCCAAGGAGAAGATGGAGAAGACCCGGGTGCGCACCCGCGAGAACCTGGAGAAGACCCGCCTCAAGACCAAGGAGAACCTGGAGAAGACGCGACACACACTGGAGAAGCGCATGAACAAGCTGGGCACACGCCTGGTCCCCGCTGAGCGCCGGGAGAAGCTCAAGACCTCTCGGGAGAAGTTGCGCAAGTCTTTCACTCCGGACCACGTGGTCTACGCGCGCTCCAAGACGGCAGTCTACAAGGTGCCGCCCTTCACCTTCCACGTCAAGAAGATCCGCGAGGGCGAGGTGGAGGTGCTGAAGGCCACCGAGATGGTGGAGGTGGGCGCCGACGACGATGAGGAGGGTGGCGCGGAGCGTGGCGAGGCCGTGGATCTGCTGCGCGGGAGCAGCCCCGACGTGCACACGCTGCTGGAGATCACCGAGGAGTCAGACGCCGTGCTGGTGGACAAGAGCGACAGCGACTGAGGGGGACGGGTGGGGCTCTGCCCAGGAGGCCTTGCGCCCCACCTCTCCCTGCCCCCACCCTGATTCTCTTCCCTCCTGAACTTTCTCTTTTGCCTTCTTTCTCGGGCCCCAGACGGGCTCACACATTTCTAAATCGAGAACACCGAACACCTTTCCCTCAAGGAGCACCCCTCCGAGTCTTAGAGCTGTTAAGACGGTAGGGGGAGGCAGCCTCCACAAAGACCAGCCCCAATCGGGGCGTAGTCTGGGCGGAGATGGAAAGGGGATGGTCCACGCCCTGGTTGTGCAAACTGGGGATCCTGCGGGAAAATGCTATCATTTCCACAGTCGCCCCACACCCCGCCCCGGGGCAGGCTGCCTTCCCTCGAACCTTGTCCTCACACATCCAGCTCTCTCATTCCTGCTCACTGAGCTCTTCTTTCTTATCCTGATCCCTGGAAGCTTCGAAGCCAAAATTAGTGTAATAGAAAAGAACATATTCTGAAGAAGACCTTTGTCCACATGGGAGGCCCCCATACCGGAAGGACTCGAAAGCAGCTTTTGGGAGAACGTGGGCTGTAAAGGGGAGAGGGCAGAGGGAGCCATAGATGAGGGTCCAGCACAGGCTGTATCTGCAGAGTCCCAACAAGGAAGGCTGGAGCCAGGCGGGGCCCTGGGGAGTGGCAGTGGAAAGTGGCCCACTTTCATGTTAGGCATCTGCACACAGGCACAGGTGGCTGTGGCTTTGGGAAGGAGAACAGGAAATAGCAGAAAGTGGAAATGGATGAAGAGAGGCGCATTTGCCTCATTAGCAGCATGAGAAATGCAGAGCGAGAATCCTATCTTAACTTGAGTGCTCCTTTTCCATCTCAGGATAAGGAGGGATGATGAGAAAGCGATGATCCAGAGAGAAAAGAGCCGTAGGCCTCACTCCTTCCCTCAACTGGGATCTGGGTGGTGCCTCAGGGGCAGTCCGTCCCTCAAAGCCCAGGAAATTAGGGTCCCAGAAGGGGGCAGCACCAGGCTGCAAAGAACTGAGAGTCAGGAGGGAGGCAGATTAGAAAGAAAGTGAGGTGCGAATGGCCAGGCCACCAAGCTGAGAGCTGGAGGGGGAGTGAGGAGAGTATCACCGTGTATGGAGCACCCGGCAGACTCTTCTCGAGACCCTTCCCTAGAACTAGTAGAAGAGCTGCAGAATTTGCCCTTGTGGGCTCCTCTCCTGAATCTTTAGGGCTGACAGAGTCGCTGCTTCCAGGTTCTCCTTGGGATACTGGAGTCCTGCTGAGCCTCCCCAGTTTAAAGGGGGTGGTCAGAAGCAAAAACAGCTCCCCTTTCCTACAAGTCATTTGTGCCATGGCTCACAAGTTCCCTACAGAGGAGGCTGAAGGATTCTCCCTTCTCCCCCATCGCCTTTGCCTTTTTGTCCCTGCTCTGCTTTTTAGAATCACAGCTGATCGCTTTAAGGGGTGGAGGGAGAGAGGGAGCCTGCGGACACAAACCTTTTTTACAATACAAAGCTTTGCTCCACCCCACCCCCACCCCCCAACATACACTTTCTTGGTTCTCTTCCCTCTGGTGGATGCTTGGAGACAGGTCAACTGAGACAGGATGGAGACTGGGACAAGGTGCTGATGGGTTGAAGGGGCCTGAGCTGTGGGCAGACGCTGGTTCCTGTGGGCTCTGGGGAGCCTCTCATGTTGCTGTGTCCTGGTGAGCAGCCTGACCAATAAACCTGCTTTTCTAAAAGGATCTGTGTTGGACTGTATTCTCCGAAGACAGCTCTATATAGGATGGGTTACAGAGGATGGGAGGGAAAAGTGAAGGGGGCAGGGAGGGGGCGAGAAAAAGAGGAGACTGTTGGTTTAGACTTGCTTCACTTGCGTGGGGTGTGTGTGGGGTGTGTTATCGTCATCCCTGTTTTAGAGATGAAGAAACAGAGTGGCTTGTGTAAGGTGACATAGCTGGTAAGTGGTGGAGCTGCGATTCTAAGCCAGGCAACCTGTAACCCTGTGTTGTCTGGATCTACTTCCCAGCTGTCAGGGCATTAGCTCTGCAGACGTGCCCAGTTAGCCTGAGCGTCCCCCAAATATACACTTCAGAATCATGGGCCTAGAGGGGGCCGCTTCAGGGAGGGGAAAAATCAGAGGCCCTGGACTCAGAGGGCTGAGTGTCATAAGAAAGGATTCCAGTGCATGTGGGCCAGTCATAGCCACACAACACAGATGATTCTCCTCATGACCCTGGGATGGGCACTATTTTGTTGTTTGTACAGTCTCTTCCCCACGAGCAGGGTGCCCTACCTTCCCACGGGTTACAGATTTCCTAGAACAATGGACTCAAATCATCATGTGGATTCTGCTGGCATGAGAAGCACCTGGGAAGGAGTGTCCCTAATAAATACTGGTTGGCCAAAAAGTCCATATTTTTTTTGTAAAATGAGGGACACATTTTTCATTTTCACCAAGAACTTCATTGATTTGGATATTTTGAGTAAGTTGGCTCTGTCCCGCATGGTATAACATTGAGGATTCTCAATGAAAGTGTCGATTCGACTGCTATCAACTTCAACTGGCCCACTCAACCGTCGAGAAATCTCTGGCATGAAATTATTTTGCAAACCACTTTTGACACGTTCGATCAATTACAGCACTTTCTCCACACATTGCACAAATCTTTTTTTTGAGTTTCAGTTGCGTTTTTACCTTTCTTGAAATAATAAAGCTAATTTGCTGAAAGTGTTGCCTATTTTCTTTCATCTTCAACATTAAAATGGCTACACAAAAATTCACCAATTTTGGTAAGTTTTTTTTTTAAAATGCATGCTGATATGATAGTCGTCACAGTATAATTTAACAAAATTGTTTCAAATGAAATTAAAGGTAATTGAGTGCTACTAGAGCCACTTTATGGGGAAAAAAAAACCTCAAACTTTTGACCAACCCATACAATGTTTCTCAGGCTCTATCCCAGACTCCTCTTACTACCCCAAACAAGCTGAGCCTTTCCTAATGAGCTGTACATTCCTTTTCAACTCCTCTACCCCAAACTGCAGGGTCCAGAGTTCTAAGTTCCCTAGAAAGGTTGGTTTCCCACCAAAAAAAAATAGAAACTTATACTGAAAATTAAGAGACTGGGGCCAGGAAACTTCCTTTTGCTTATATTATATTCCAATATTCCAGTATATAAATACTCCTTAGCATGGCTCACAAGTTCTCTAAGAGTGTGGTCCTTGCCTCAGTGCTTACTGTCTAACATGCTCTTTAGGGAGCCTGGTGGCAAACGTGGACCACAAATATTCGGGCCTATGGGCCTTTGGTCAGGCTGGTCCCTCTCTCTGGAATGGCCTCTCCCTTTTCACCCCCCTTTTTCTAATCCTCACCAGAGGACATGCCTATTGACTTTAGAGAGAGGGGGAGGGAGGAACAGAGAGAGGGAGAGAAGCTTACTGACTTTAGAAGGAGAGGAAAGGAGGGAGGGAAACATTGATGCAATGAGAGGGTGCCAGACCAGGGGCCAAACTGCAACATAGGCGTGTACCCTGAACAGGAATTGAACCCACCACATTCCAGTTTGTGGGAGGATGCTCTAACCAATGGAGCCACACCGGCCAGGGCTCCACCTCTCTTCTGAAACCAATCACTTTCCCACCTCTACCCCAGTCATACTGATCACTCCCTTTTCAGGGCTCCTGTAGAACTTTGTGTCAATAAATATTTGCTGAATGAATGAATGAGTGAATGAATTACAAGACTCTTTCCATTGCAAATGTCATAAACTCACCTCAAACTGGCTTCAGCAGAAACAAAACAAAACAGAACAACAAACACAACCAAAGCTGAAAACAAACAGAGGGAATTAATGTAACTGAAAAAGTTCTTGATAAAAAATGTCCAGGGATGTCTGGGTGCAAATTCTGATGTAATATATTAGGAATTTATCTCTTCTTATCTTTTCTTTTCTACTGTGTTTGTTTCATTAAAATCAGATTTCCCTCATATGTTGACAAAGATGACCACCAATAGCTGCAGGTTTATGGCTTAACAGTTGAACCCAGTTAAGAAGGTTTCTTTCCAAATCCTTCCATCCAGAATCTCAGATATGATGTCCACTGACCCTGATAGGTCACATAGTCAAATCACCATGCCTCTGACCAAATCTAAGTCATGTACCACTTCTAGAACCCACCTGAATTGTGGGGCTGAGTATATTTTTTAAAAAAGGCTGATTTCCCAAAGGAAAATTGGGTTGCTGTTATCAATAGAAAGGGGGGAGGTTGATGGGCAGACAAAACAACAGATGTTCTTTCTGAATTATCTGTTTGTGATACTGTGCTAGAAGCCAGGAGACTTACAGGGACAACAATCCTAGCCCTTGATTTTAAAGGGTTTGTAACTAGGGGGAGAGGCAGATGTTCAAAATAGCTCGAACAATGACTGTGAGCCAGTTAAAGCGAAATGCAGTGGTAATACATGGAGAGGGATTAATCGTGCCTGGGGACTATGGAACAGCTTACAGGAGGGAGGGGGCTTAAAAGCAGTGATTCTAAACCTGAGTAGGATTTCAAATATATTTGCTGCAGGAAAGAGATAATATTTTACTTGATTTTTTTTTTTTTTTTTTTTTTGTCACCAGAGCCTAACAGTATCTCAAATACAATTGTATTGGTTAATGTCATTTGGGTTAAAGTATAAGAAAATGACATTGGCCAAAAGGGAAAAAGAAACTTATATTGGAAGGCTGCCAAGATATCCTCTGGACTCCAAGGAATTGCCGAGCAGCCAGACTAGGAAGAGTAGGAATCAGGGGATCTCCAGGGACTTCTGGGAGGGAGTTGATGGATGACCCTCTCTAAAATGCTGACATTAATGGAACCCGGGCCCTGAGCCTCTCTGTTTCAAATTCTAAATTCCTGGCAGGGAGAATCTGATTAAGCCAGTTAACATTAGTATTCACCCTGGATTTAATAATCTATGGCCAGGGGGACCGGATCATGTCATGTAGATGTATGTGGCTGAAGGGATCCATTCCAGTGTATGACTGAGGAGGGGAGGAGCAATTCCCAGGAAAAGAGGACTGGAGCCAGGCAGGACCCAAGAGATAGCTATTGAAACACTAGGGACACTACACATGTTAATTAAATTAAAGCAGTGAAATATGAAGGTTCTTTAGGCAAAGGGAACAGTACGCAGGAAGACAAGGAAGTGGGAAAACTGAAGACATGACTAAGGAATAGTTAACAGAATTATGGAATGCAAGATATAGAAAGGGTCTTTTTAAAAACTATTATTTATTTATTTTTAGGGAGAGGGAAGGAGGGAGCAAGAGAGGGAAGGAAACATCGGTGTGAGAGAGAAACACATGCCTGAAACTGCAACCTAAGCATCTGCCCTGAGTGGGAATCAAACTGGTGAACTTATGCTTTGCGGGACGACACCCAACCAAACGAGTCACACAGGTCAGGGCTGAAAGGGGTCTTTTTTATAGGTGAGGAAATAGTCATTTTACAGAGGAAGTTGCTGCAGACCCAGGAGAGAAAGTAATTATCAATGCCTAATAAGACTCAGGATAAAAGTTAGCAGAAGAGAGGTGATCCTTGAAGTGCTAGGAGTAGGTAGATGGAGCCAAGGGAGGGAGAGAAGAGGATGGGATTTAGAATTCAAGGTGGGTGCCCACCTTTAGGGGACGATGGGGGTTGGGATGGCCGGGGAGGGAGAAGCATATCTTGCTGGGTGCAGGGCACTTTCGTAAACATTATCCCAGGTGATTCTGACCTGGGTTGGTTTCTCCTCTGCTTAGAGAAGCTCCTGCCTCCTCCCTCCAGGCCTTTGTCTCTGTGGGGCGACTGAGACCCTTATCCTAGTCCACAGCTGCTTTGTCAGGGATGGACGTCTCGTCCTGTCTGGGCTAATGAAATCTCTGCCAGCAACTTAGAATTTTGGGCCAACAGCCATAGAGACAACATTTTTATTAGCACCCTCAAGTCAAGTCATGACAAGGGAAAGGCAGAGTTTTAGTGAGATGTTCCACGAACTCTCTCTGCTGAGATTCCTACAATCGCCCTCCCCTAGGCGAGGATGTTCAATCCTTTATTCAAATTTGCAAGACATCTGTTTCCTTTCAATAAGTCTTGCCCTCCCCCGACCTTGTTTTTCTGCATAAGATAATCAAACCTCACATACGTCGATGGATTGCAACATGCCAGGTGCTATATCGTGTGCTTCACAGGTTTGCTCATTTACTCTTCCTGACAACCTATGAGGTAGATTGTCTCATATTCTCTACCACACAGAGAAGGAAACCAAAGCTCACAGTGGGTGAGCAGTCGGCCCAAGGTGGCGCTGCTGCGCGGGAAGACCCTGCTAGGCCCTGGTTCTTTCCTGCCATGCCGCACAGTTAACCTGACAGTATTTTCCAATCAAAAACGCTTTAATGCAAACTCACCAAAGTCCAACTTATATTCTCTATTTGAAGATGAGGGTGCTGAGGCTGAGAGAGGTTAAAGAACTTGTCCGGCGTTGCTCCGCTTATTCTCTGTCAGAGCCGGAATTCAAACCAAGGGGTCTCATCTCAGCTCCCGTCAGCTTTCTAGGTAACAAATTTGCTTCCATTGACCACTGTGACGGTCAAGGGAGGAAAGAAGGTCTAGGGGGAGGGATGATCAACAGTACTAAGTTCTACAGCAAAAGTGAGTAAGATGACTGAGAAGGCATCAGCTTCGAGGAGCAGGGGTCCCCGATGGCCTTCCAGAGCCCTGTGCTGTGGAGAGGAGGAGGCAGAAGCCACGTCGGTGGAGCAAGTAGGGGAGAGGACATAGGGGCCATCATAGGGAAGGGGGGATTACTTGAGGGTCAAGATAGGGAAGGAGTATCTTTGGAGCAAGAAGGGAGGGGATAAGTGGAGAAAGTCAGTGGAAGAGGAGAATTGATAAAGCTCAGAAAAGGGAGGGGTGGGCCCAAGAGCACTTCCATTCTTTCAGTAAGCGTTTCCTGAGTACCTATTCTCTAGGCACTGGAAAGACAAGGGAGCATCAAACAGGTAAGATTCTTTTTTTTTTTTTTTTTTTTTGAACTGACAGTGCAATGAGGAAGACAGATAAGAAACTGGAAATGGATCAATAAAATGAGAATTATAACAAGAGTTCCACAGGAAACGGCATATTAAGGGGCTGGGAGCAACTATAGGTAAGGGTAGTTCGACAAAGCCTCTCTGCGCGGGTGAGACCAGAAGGGCGAGAAGAAACTAGCCATGTCAGAGCGAGTGAAGGAAAAAGACCGGCATCTGCAAAGGCCCTGAGGTGGGAAGTGGATGGCTAGAATACCGTGGGCAGGAAGAAAGCTGGTGGGGATAAGAAAACGGAGAACTCCTTTATCCTAAGCCTCGTGGAAGCCACTGAAGGAAGAGAATGACATAGTATGAATGATGTTTTAAGCAGCCTGGGAAAAGGCCTTAATCTTGAAAATATTCAGGGGATCGGTCTTCAGACAGGAGGAAAGGGAATGCTTATATGATGATTCCTGAGCAGCGCTTCTGCGCAAGGAAAGTAGAGGTCCGAGGAGCTCGCGTTGCGCTGACCTGCTCTTCTCTGGGACTTTAGTGAGAGGGGACTTGCCAGCCCCGGGTGAATGAATCTCTCTGTTATTGAGCCCCACGGGGATCCCGTCAGCCATACGAGTTGCCTCTTGCCCCTTTTGGTCACTGCAGTGACTTGTCACCTGTTTGCCACCTCCAATGCTCTTCTCAAATGTTCCCTTCCTTGCTGTGTCTTCTTGTTAGAGTTTTATTACCAATTCCTCCAGGGAAGAGGAAGTAAATAAAATGTGTATCTAGAACTTTACAGAGTCTGATAAGCTCAGTTTCCGATCTAGCCTCGTTCCTCTGAGTCTCTCTGAGGTGGTTAAGGTTACCTATTGCTGTGTAAGAAGCCATCGCAAATCTTAGTGGCTTAAAGCAATGGCAACTTTTATTTTGCTCATGACTTTTTAATCTGAGTAAGGCTCAGCAAAAAAGGCTCTTCTCTGCCCCGTTGGCATGGCTTGAAAGCTGGTAGCTGGAAACATCCTGAGGCTGCCTCACTCATTGTTGATGTTTGCTGTCAGCTGGGCCTTAACCGGACTATTGGCAGAACATCTTCATGTGGCCTCTACCTAGCGCTTGGGCCTCCTTACAATATGGTGCCTGAGTTCCAAGAGTGGGTCTCCCAGGAGAGTCAGGTGGAAGCTGTATTGCCTTTTATGACCTAACCTCAGAAGTCATGCAGCATCATTTCAACTATATGCTACTCATTAGAAGCAAGTTACTGAGGGAATGGAATTAGACTTTACCTTTAGATGGGAAAAGTGTCAAAGAATTTGAGGACATGTTTATAGACCACCATAAACTCACTGGGCTTCTGCACTCTGCCTTTATTCACCTGACAGGTAGAAATGAGGGCCTCACCTTTTCCCCTGATTTAGACCCTTCTTTGGGGATCCAAGAGGAAGGTTAGGCTTGGAGAAATAGTTAAGAAAGAGCAGTTACTCAGGATCTCTAAGTAGGCCACTTGGATTTGAATCTTGACTCTGCCATTTACCAGGTCTGTGTTCTTGGGGAAGTCACTTAATTTTGGGTAAGCCTCATTTCCTCTGCCTGTAAAATTATGGTATGCTTCTCATGGGGTTATTGTAAGGATTAAAGGAGTTAATGCATAGCTTATATAACATACTTAGAGTGCTGGCTAGTACACAGCAAACACTCTATAAGTGTTAGCTACTGCCTGTATGATTATTCGACATGTTTATTAGTATTTAATTAAATCAGTCTTAGGTAAGTTCTGGGTTAGATGGTAAATGCTTTCAATCATGTGGTCAGAGAGTCTGGGTTTTGGAGTCAGCCAGACCCAATTCTCATTCTGAGTTTACCTATAGTTTCTAGCTGTGGCAACTTAGACCAGTCTTTCACTTTCTTGGCCACAGTTTTCTCAGTTGAAAATAAAAATTATAATAGTAGCCTACCTCACTAGGTTCTGGTGAGGATCCAATGAGGTAATCTATGTAATAATCCTAGCTCAGTTTCTGGAACATGGTAATTACTTAATAGATGTTAATCATTAATTTTATTTACCAGGAACTGGCTAATAAATGGATACATTACAGCCTGAGGTAGAGAATACTCCATTAGATGGGGGAAACAACCTGCTCAGGGAGTCTGGCAGAAGAAGAGATGAACTTTGCCAGGAAGAATCCCAGAAAGCCGAGAGGAAGTAATGTGGAAACTGGGCTTTGAAGAATGAGTAAGAGTTTTTCAAGTAGGAAATGAGGAAAGAGAGGGGATTCCAGGTGGAGGGAAGATTTGCAATGGCATAAAATTACAGAGATGTTCAAATGTTTAGAGGAAGGTGATGCATCAGTGTGGGAGCCTAAGGAGTGTGAGATGGAGTGGATGAGGCTGGAAAGGGGAGTTCAGGGCAAAGCATTGGCTCAACTGAAAGAAACTGCCGTCTTTAAGTGAAGGGGACTGGCAGAATGTGAAGACAGTCCAGTGGCTGCGCTAGAGAGAGGTTTTGTAGGTGGAACAGATAAGTCAGGGGCAGATTTTCTATGTGAATGCAGGGGAGGGCAATGAGGGAATCAAAAGCCAACTGCTAAAGAGTCAGGGGAGGAGGGAGGCATTTGAGTGGATGGAGCAAAGTTCTGGGATGTGGAGTTCAAAAACCTGGTGCTGAAGCCAGCTGGTATACCTCTGAGTTTCTCCATGATCTGAGATCATCATACTATTTTTGGCCTTAGTTTCCTATCAACATATAACATGCCTTTCCTACCTGCTACACATAATTGTTAGAAAAGAGGCAATGAGTGTGTAAGTGCTTTGGAAGCAGTAAATAACTAAACAAATATTAGGCCCCATGTTATTAGAGAGGCAGTCAACTGCATGGGAAAGCACAGCTAAAGCAGAGTTTTGTGGTGTGGAAGGTGAGGATATTCGTCCTGAGTGAAGATAAAGATAGATGCAGCAATCAACACTCACACACACACACACACACACACACACACACACACACACAGATACAGCAATTTCCACACTGGACCACGTCTATTAGGATGACAATGGGAAACTCTATTATATCACAAGCGAGCCTACCGGTTGCCCTATACTGCTGTCACCTCTCACATGGATATAAGTAAAGTGGCCTTTAGCTGGGCTTCAGGCATTTGGGGAACCATGAGAACATATAGCTTATGCTGTATATTTCTAGGGCTAGAATACATAGCCTCCAGCAGAGTCCAGAAGGATCTGTGATCACACCATGACCAAAGGTTAAGAGTCATTGATTTTCTCACCAGAAATTAATAAGAATAGCTATCCTTGGGGAGAAGAGCTGGTGAGGGGAAGGGTGAGATTTTCATGTTTAATTTTCAACTTTTCTGAACTGTTTGACTTTTCTAACCACAACATGTGTTGGTTTCATTGAAAAAATGTCATCAGGGGTTATCTGGGTGATGACATAATGAGCCCTTTTAAGATTTCATCTTTATACCCCTTTGTATTAAACACAACAAACACAAACACTAATAGCTGTTATTAAAAAAACCCTGATAATATCAGCGCACGCGCGCACGAACAGACACAAATCATTCCATTATGCAAAGTACATCCTCTATTATGTAAGGTGAAATGTCTACATTTCCTATAGACTACTGGCTTCAATGTAATAAAACTTGCGCTCTAAGTTGACAAGGAAAAAAAGGACAGGCAACATCAAGTATTTCAACTCAGAAGCATAAATAATGTGTATACGTGTCAATTTTAATATGTATTGTCTTCTGCATTCTCCTGAATTGCCCAATGTGCGATCAGTTGGGATTTGATGTTTCATGCGGCGGAACGGAGATCAGGGTTAAATCCACTACCATCTCCCCACGCACTCTAGTAATTACTCTAGTTCCACGTCATATTTCCGGGTGTGTGTGTCCCGTCTCACGCAGAAACTGGAGTTCAGAGCAGGCGGGAGTCACCCATGTTCTTTTCGCTGTCCCCAGAAACCCAGTTGAGGTGTTGGGCCCCCTGAGAATCTGACGATACCTCAGGACTGTCTAACTGGCTGATTCCCACGTGGTAAGTGGCTCCCACCCTCGCGGCCACGTGCCGTCAAGAACCGGAAAAAGAGAGACCAAGCAAAAGAGAGCCGCATCGGGCATTTAAAAGTGTCTTGACGTCACGCACTGCCAGGAACTCAGCTGAGTTTTTAGCAAGGCATTCCAGTCATCTTTCCTCCCTCCCCCCGGACTTCTGAGCCCGAGACCTCGGCAATTCCCCTGCTGCTGCGGAGGGAGGAGCACTAATATTTCGGAACAGCCAGTACGGGGCGTTCTCTGTCTTGGTTGGCTCCGCCCTTTCCCCCAGAAGCTCTCCTCATTGGTCAGTTGGGGGAGCTCGGGGTGTAGGTACAAGCTCTAGGGCCTCTGGGTGGAGGAGAAAACTGGCCGTCTCATGAATTATGCAGGACGGAGTGTCGGGGCCAGGCTGGGGCTGGGCGGGGATTGGCTGGAGGGGCTGTAATTCAGAGGTTTCCGGAGCTGCGGCGGCGTAGAGAGAGAGGGAGAGTCTGGGGTTCCGTCGTCGCAGCGGAGGGAGTGAGCCCGAACCGGATCCTTGACGAGCAGCTCGGCTCGGCTCTCTCTCTCTCTCCCATCTGCTAGGAGAGACCCTGAGGCCTGAGGGAGCCCGCGGTCCGCACCCCGGCGCAAGCGCACCCCGGCCTGTCGGGCCTCAGCCCGAGAAACAGGTGAAGGGGGTGAAGGGTGGGGCCCCTCCGTCCCGACAGCTCCCAGGCCTGGGGATCCCCGGGGACGCCGGAGGGACTGGGAGCTTCTGTGCTGTTCGGGGAAGTTGTGGAAGGAAACTTCAGTGGGGCGGGAGGCTGCGAGGAGACGCGGAGGGTTGCTCTGAACGGACGCCTCCCGGGGATGACAGGAGCGGGCCTCCGAAGGGACAGGAGGTGCTGGAAGGAAGTTTCGTTCGTCGGAGAAAGGGGAGGAGACGAGGAAGAGAGAATGGGCTCGAGAGGGAGGTCCGTGGGGCGAGAGCACGCTAGGGTGGGGGTGGCAGAAGTGAGGGACAGCCCCCCGACTTCCTGCTCCCTGGGGCTCCGGGGGCGTTCCGGTCGCAGGAGCGCCTGTCAAGCCGGTGGAGGTGACGGGGAGGTGCGGGTGTTGCTGAAAAGAGTCCCCCGCCCCCATTCCTCGGCCTTGCCCTGCTCTCGGTCCTGTAGGAGCCAGCTGGACCCCTCTGGGGGTGAGAATAGGTGTCTCCCCGCTACAGTCTCGTGGACTAGCTGGTTGTGGGTAGGAGTATTGCATAAGAGTCAAGTTTCCTGTAGGGAAACTGACAGTCTTACACACTTTCTAAATTCCCTCCCGTCTTTTTCTGGGCGAGGTTAAGTCTTGCTTCTCGCCAACCACCTTCTAAAAAAACAAAATAACAGCCCCCGCCCCCATCAAGCCAGCTCGAGAGAGAAATAAACGTCTTTTCTCCTTGACATTGTTCTTTTATAAACACCTGGTAAACTCGGCCAGAAGATAAATAATTGAGCCCTTGCGTTTTCTGGATTGTGGTGTTGCTTAATTGCATAGGGCAGAATGAACCAGTCGAGAGTAGGAGTTTTTTGTTTCTGAGCCAAGATCTTGGGTAAATGCAGAGGAGAGGGAAACAAAGACGGGCTGGCCTTGGGGAAGCCATGTGTGCAAACTTTACCTGTGTGTGTGGGGTGTGTGGTTGGGCTTAAGTTAGCAAGATTCAAACTGTCACCCAAGTTGCTTTTTCCATGTTTAGTACACATCTCTCTGTGTTATGTATCAAGTGTGTGTATGATGTTGACACACTTTTTTTAAATAAAAAAAAACGTGTGTAACGTGCATCTGCTGGTTTTATTACCAGGTATATTTATTCTGTGTATGGCTTGTAACTCTTTGGTTAGCTGTGCTGACAAAGCATTGGTTTGAGTAAATCAGAACAGTATTCTCTTATATGCGGTCTTAGACTGTTACAACTTGATTCAGCCAACTTTCTATTTTACTATTTATTAAATATGTCTGTGTTCCTTGAGTCGACATACTTTTTTCCTTATTACATGTGCCAGACTGGAATGCTAGCAGAATTTATGCTCAGATATTTGCATAATGGGACAGAGGACAGAAGTCGGCAATATAAAAATAAAAAACAACATTGTAGATGTTGGAGGATTGATCTTAGTCACTAGCAAATTTATGAATTTTTTATATGTAGTTCTTTTGGGAAGAATAACCATTTAGAACTATCTAGTTATGACTTTACCCACAAAGGGTAGTTTATATAACCTTAACCCTATTTTGTAGGTAAGGAAACTGAGGTTAAAGGAACAAGGCATTTGCCCAAGACAGCAGAGGGCCGTAGTGGTAGAACTCACATCTTCTGTATATTTTGTGTTCTTTTGCTTATGTAGTTGGTCTTGATTTAGAGATAGTGCAGACCCTGTTGGGAAAACTGTCAGTGAGGTCTAACAAATACCTGGACAGTGAAATACCACCAATAGGCTGTAAGACTCCATGCGAGATAGGTAATACATAACCAGGAGAAAAAAGTACAAGTGGGGTTTGCTTAGGTTATTTTTCTAACTGCTGTAACTTGGGAAGTAACTAACTTTTTAGTTGGCATGATTTATCATTAGGATTTAGCTATTTGCTAGTGGAAAGATATATTTATTAAGGCAAACTTGTAGATAAAGAACAGTTGTGACCTAAATGTCATTTTTGACCAAAGGGCCTTGTGGCTGGATCATTGGTCGTTTGTGTTTCCAGAAAGTTGCTTTCTCCTCCTTGCCTCTGCACGTTTTGACATTCAGGTGTGAGATGGGGCAGAGTTAGTGACCCTCATTTCAGACATGGAGTTCAGCCCTTTTTTACCTTACGGTTTTCTCAGAAGTGGTGTACAAATGAACATAGATTTACTTTTTGCAACTTAGTGAAAGTTGCTGTGAAGAATAAGATCATATATTTACAGAACTTGCAGTTTACTAAGGCAACTTGATAAATGCTTCACCTATACAATGCAACATGTCCTCAAAGAGACAGTGGGACATTGTCAAAAAATTAGCTATTTTATATAAAAAAAGTATAGCACAGATGAAGGACATCTTAACCATGGAAAGTTCTATTGAACAGTGCTGCACCAAGCGCTACAGGCCTTCATAAGAAGGAGAGGTTACAAGGCCTGGAGTTATCTAGGAAGTCTTCTTGCCAAAGAAGAGATTTGATCTGGGTCCCGAATAATGGTTGGAATTTGATAGGTATAAAGAATTTGGTGTGAGGAGGTATGGGGTATAGCACAAAAATCCTGGTAGATCAGGAAGGTAAGCCGGGGAGAAGGAGTGCCTACTTACACGATGTCTTGAATACAAGACCAAGGAATTTCAGTTCTCTCCTTTTGTAGGGGAAGCTTTTAAAGGTGTCTGAGGCCCTTGCCCCTTGGCTCATTTGGTTGGAGTGTTGTTTTGTGAACTGAAAGTTTGCCGGTTCAATTCCGGCCAGGGCACATACCTAGGTTGCAGGTTTTATCCCTGGTTGGGGTGCATATGAGAGGCAACTGGTTGATGTTTCTCTCTCTCTCTCCCCCCACCTTCCTTCCTCTCTAAAATCAATCAATTAAAAAAATAATCCCAAGCCAAAAAAAGTGAAGATGTTTGTGGCCAAGTACTGGTGTTTAATTATGGAGTGCCTATTACGTGTCTGGTGGTGGTTAATTTGTGCAAAGTATCTCGGTGCACATGGCCTCTGTCCTAGTGGAGTTGTCATTGAGGTTGATCTTCTAAACTGTGCCAGCACCCAAAGAGAGGTGTCCTGATTTATTCGATTTGTGTGGGTTAAATGCAGAGAAGTTTTTTGAGAGATTTTTAATTGGCTACAAATTGACCGCTCACATTTTGTCTTACATATTTAAAAAATTTTACTGCAACGTTCAGGTCGTTCATAAAAACTAGCCAAAGAGCACTTGAAGGACCTTCCCAAACCCTGAAGAATCTCTGGTATCCTGGAGCAGCCTTGGTGAGGTCCAGCAGGATAATATTGGTGGGCTGTTTCAGTCTTTGTTGGCTATGGTGAAAAAAATTAATGTTGTGGTAACATATTCGTTGCTAGGAACCTTGGTTTACTATGGTCAGGATGGCCAGATGGTATTTCACTGGTAAATTGTTTGGAATGTCTCCAAAGGAAATAGCATATGGAAGAATGAATTTCTGTTACGGTCAGTTCTCATTTATCATGTTAGGATTATCACAACTCTTAGTCCAGTTAGGCAAAGGTTATATATTGAGAGCCAGTTATTGTTCTAGGCAGGATCCAAGGATAATGAAACATGGTCTCTGTTTTCACACAACCGGAAGCATTATTGTGTGAACCAGGGAGTGTGCTGGCTCGGTATGGATTTAGGGCAGCATAGATGACAGAATAGTGGCTTAAGGCGCAAACTCTGGAGTCAAACAGATCTGGGATTGGATCCTGGATCTGCCACTTCTGAGTCAGAATCTGAGCCTCAGTTTTCTTACCTGTAAAAGGAGAAGATAACAGTACCTGTTTCCGAGGGCTGTTGAATATTCGGCGAAATAAAAAGATAAAATGCTTGGCATAATGCCTGACCCACAGTAAGAACTCCATAAATTTAAGTTCTTATTAAATGTCTAGTTAAAGAGATTGATTTTCTTCAGGGGTGAGGAAAGGCTTGTCATACAGGGACTTTATCAGGTGGGAATCCTTGAGTAGGGTTTTGTAGGATAAATTAGGAATTCTCCTTCAAAGCTGAGTGGTAAACAGCTGCATTCAAGGCTGAAGGAGTGGAGTGTTAGAGGCTTAAAACAGCATAGTGCATTCAGGGAGCTCTAAGTGAAGTTCCTAAGTTAGGAGAACTAAGCAGAGGGGAAAGAAAGCTGCAGAGCTGGAGCTCTTATCCCTTCCCTTCTGCTAATAATTGGGTTCAAATGCCATTAAAATAAATGGTTTTGCCCTGTTTTCAGAAGTAGTACATGTTTGGCAATTACCAAAGGGCAAAGGGTGTGGGGGCAGGTAGAAGAGGGGAAAGGGGGGGTAAGTGGTGGCGGGAGGGGACTTGACTTCGGGCGGTGAACACAACCTACAGATTATGTATTATAGAATTGTACACTTGAAATGTATATAATTTCCTTAACCATTGTCACCGCAATAAATTCAGTAAATTTTATTTAAAAATAGTAAAAAAAGAAGTAATACGTGTTATTGTAAAAAATTTAAATTTGTAGAAATAAAAAACTATGTATATTATATATATATCCTGTTAATAGTTTGCTATATATTTCTCCAGATTTTTTGCAGCTTTTTCTACTTATCAGTTTTCTTAGATATATTTATTGCAAATTCCTTTTTCAGAGGCTAATAAAAGAATAATAAGGAAGGCAAATCTGCCTCCCCCCAAAAAATAAGGTTTGGATTAACTGGTTTTCCTCTCTGTTACCTCCATCCATGGTAAATGAGGTTTCTAATCAGTGAACTTTTATCAGACCTTTGACTTTTTAACTATATTGGATGAGGAGCTTATATTTTGAGGTTTCCTGAAGTAACTAATATTGTAGTTTCAAAAATGCTTGGGTGGTGTGTTTGAGGGTCTCATGGTCCCCAGTTGCCATAGGAGGTAAAAGAATGGGCTATGAAGTCAGACTCCTTGGGCTTTAATCCTGATCCACCACCTCTTAGACCTTGGGGTCAGTTGCTTTAACTTCCCTGA